GTGACGTCATAAAGTTTTTAGGCAACATACCTCTTTCAAGCACATTGATTTATTGAAAAATTTGCCTTCGGGGCCATTACCCCTCTTTTGTTAACCTATAAAAAATTTAAGCGGGGGGGGGGGGGGTGTGTATGCCCTATGTCAAATTTGTTATGCCCTATCACAAATTTGACTCTAGCTACGGCCCTGCCTTAAACGCACCCTTAATTAAGGTTATTTGCAGATCTTTCAGGTGCCCTAAAGGGTTTTTAATATTGGTACTGCCTATAACTTCCAGTGCCAGTTGTACCCGAGATTATGGTGGAAATGTCCATATTTTCACAAAAAACCCTATTTCGATGAATCGTAATTATTAGTTTCGCTCCCCTCAACTACCCTCAAAAGATATTTGCAAGTCTTTTTAGGTACCCTTAACGATGTATATTGGTACTGCCTATAACTTCCAGTCAGTACCATTTGTGCCCGAGACTAGGGTGGAAATGTCCATATTTTCACAAAAACCCTTTTTTCGATGAATCGCAATTCGCAAAAACGTGAAAGGCATACTCGCTCCCTGCAATCTTCAATAAATGGGGAAATTCATTGTAAAAACGCACCCGCGTCACGGGGTAAAATTGTGACACTTTCAAATTGAAAAAAAGCTGATTTTTTTTTCTTTTTTCAATTTCCTAGAACTGCCATTTTGTAGCGGAAGAACGGATATATGACGTACATAGTGTATTTTTTTTAGAATTTTATGTAGCAAAGAAATGTTTGAGAATTTAAAAAAAAAAACCCAAATCTGTCAAAAGTAGGTATATCCCCGGTTTACGGTATGTATTAATTTAAAAAGAGAAATAATTAGGACTAGGAGAGATGTATCCATTCCATGATCCAAAAATCAAAATATTAATACAAAATCTAACATACCTACTATACTAGGTACTTATTAGATCTTAGATCTATTCCAAGATAAATACACTTTTTTAGGAAGACCTAATTATTTTTGTTGGTAGGTAGTAGGTATGTGTACCTATATCCACCAGAGGCAGACACAAGACACGTTTATTCCCCTGGCTATTAGGAAAACAGGAAACCTATATTCAATCTACCAATTTTATTTTACTTTCTGCAAATCGGATCTGTTTTCAGTTTTTTTGACCACCTTTAGACTTCTGCGAGCCTTATATCAATGTGTCCGGACTAGACTAGGACCACTTCGAGACTAGTCGAGACCACGCCAGGACCACCACACATAAGCCAGCGCGGCAAAAAGATAATTAGTCCGTCTGACTGAATTGGAGATTTTTGTGACCGTTTCAACATTGGTTTCAACCGGTATAGTGTCTCTATCTATAAGGAAAACATAGGATTCAAAAGATTCCTTGTCCCATGCTATGAGGCCAATTCACTTTACCTACCTACTAACTGCTGGCGGGTTTTTCACTTACACTAAATCTCTGCGAGCCGCATTTGAGTGGCACCAGGCGCAGCCACGCTTTAACCTCCAACATTTACTTTTACTTTACAGCACAGATTTCATCTCTAAACATCCAAATTTGGTCCGACTTAAGACCAACAACAGTGCTTTTCTTACTATATGTAAAACATTACATTTCATTTTCCTCTGCGAGCATTAGATATGAATTTTTTGAACCATTCTAGCTCAATTTTATTTCTCAAATAGACAACAAAGTTTCACTCTATTTTAGTATAATTTTTAGCATTAGGAGAGCCAGTAACAGAAAACTTATGCCTTTTTAATTCAAATTTCAGCTAGTAGATAATGGGTCTCATCCTGCAGAAATCACAAACCAGTCAGAGCGAACCTCATTGGTTGAAAACTTGTTTCCACTAATGAAATTTACTGTGACTGGTTTGTGATTTCTGCAGAAGCAGACCTAATATAATATAACACAGTATTTATATCGGGTCTTCAAAAAAAAAACCAATCAAAGATTGCTATGGTTTTTTAAACGTATGTCTTAGCAATATTTGTCTTTAATTTTATCAATGAAATTTAATGTCAAAATGTCATGTCAAAAATCCTGACGAATAAAGAAACAGTAATGCGACGTACGTTTTCGTAGTCAAAGCAATCTTCGATTTTTTTTTTTTGAAGACCCGATAGTATTTTTAATACCTATTTAGAAGTACCAGTCGTTCTAGTGACAAAACGTATGCCGCTTGTCGCTTCTTGATACACAAATCAAATTAGGTTAGGAATTTCCTATTTGTACAGGGTTATTGGTTATAAATGTCACCCCCCTCTATCTTTTTTATTTGACATTTTAGAAAAAAGTGTCCCAAATAAAAAATGCTTGACTAAGATTTTCACAAGTTATCATTTTGACACCAACTTTGAATTTAACCGAAGATTAAATTCAATTGGAATTTTCAATCATGGATTAAATTCAAAGTTGTCAAATATTGGTGTCACCTGATAGTTTATAAAAATCCAAGACAAAAATGTAAGATCGGTTTTGCTCTAAAATTAATCGTTTAGGATTTACAGCCTGTCAAAGTTGCAAAAAAGTCAATTTTCAACTGTCAATATTTCCAAAACAGTTGAAATTAGGTATAGGGTATATCACATGAAATCTGCTCAGAATTTTACGTAGAATCCGAATATCCAATAATATACAGGGTATTCCATTTGAAATAAGAAATTTGGAGCACGACCAGCTTTTGTGAAACACCCTGTATATGCGAAAGTGAGTTTTTCAAAAAATGTAATTTTAACCATAAAACTTTTATTTGGGACACTTTTTTCTAAAATGTCAAATAAAAAAGATAGAAGGGGGTGACATTTATAAGCCCTGTACATGAAATTGACATACTAGCAATCGACGTTCGTTTTTGTTGGTAATTTTTTGTTTCATCTGATTCGTGATTGATAAATATGGATGGAGTTATTCTAAATAGGTATTACAAATACTATACTTCAACGGGTGAGTTATATTAAACAATTACCACGGTAATTATTAACCAATTATCCATTTTTTAGTTGCTTTGATGAGCTTACCCCTTTCTTCTATGACTTTTTAAATACATGAGGTGTGTTTCTGCAGAAATCACAAACCAGCCAGAGTAAATTTCATTGGTTGAAACTAGTTTTCTGACTGTTTTCAACCAATGAAATTCACTCTGGCCAGTTTGTGATTTCTGCAGAAACGGACCTATTGTTGTAAAGTGTACTTAGGTAGGTAAACATCAAGTTGCTATATCGGCATTAAATTCTTATTTAAGATAGCGCAGTCCTATAAGGAACATTTATTTATTTTCGAGCTTTTGCTGTATAGTCCAAGAAACGGAGATCTGAAAAGAGGGGTTACCTCAACATAATTAGAAGTTGAAATTTTTTTGGGGGGATCGGTTCATTTTAATATGCTAAACAACATATTAAGTTTGCGACCTTGTACTTCCATAGGGTTTTCAGTTAGGGGTGGTTTTTAGGGGTAATTTGCGGTTTATGGAGAACGCTGCTCAAAGGGATGGTTCAATAGTAAAAAGTTTCAAATGAATGTTGTAGCTGAAGTTTTTTGCTATAAAAAACTCAGCGACAGCACCCCTCTATCTTCTATATTTTTTTTTCTGCAGCGTCTTGAATAGTAGCATGTTTTTGTTCAAGGTCACTGAATCAACGTTTTGCCATTTTACGCGCATTTGTTGCAGCAGCGGCCGAATGCATAATCCGATTTCAATTTTTCAAACACCACATTATTTCTAATGAAATGCACTCTCCAATGCTTTTTTGTTCGAATTTTTTGCTTGAAAATTAAGCGAGCACGGACTTGTCTAATGTGCGAGGAAGTTGTAAATTGTATCGAAAACTACCTCTTTCTTGCATTCACTCTAATTTCTGAACGGGGCCAAATATTTGGTGACAGTTTTCGACAATCGGCAGCCCATTTATTCCTCTCATAATGCCTCAGCGGATTTTTTTTTTCGTTAATCACTTAATGACTTATTGGCCTGAAAACGTCGCGCGGGATTTTTCAAAAATTAAAAAAAAAATAAAATTGTCGCATAGCGCTGAAAATTTGGTACGATGGCCTTATTTATTGTTCTTACGAATATACTGCAATTTTAATTGCTTCACATGATATAAAATTGCAGTATAATCATGAGAACAATAAATAAAGCCATCGTACCAAATTTCAGCGCTATGCGACAATTTTAATTTTTTTTTAGTTTTTGAAAAATCGCGCGCGACGTTTTCAGGCCAATAAGTCATTAAGTGATTAACGAAAAAAAAAGTCCGCTGGGGCATTATGAGAGGAATAAATGGGCTGCCGATTGTCGAAAACTGTCACCAAATATTTGGCCCCGTTTAGAAATTAGAGTGAATGCAAGAAAGGGGTAGTTTTCGATGCAATTTACAACTTCCTCGCACATTAGACAAGTCCGTGCTCGCTTAATTTTCAAGCAAAAAATTCGAACAAAAAAGTATTGGAGAGTGCATTTCATTAGAAATAATGTGGTGTTTGAAAAATTGAAATCGGATTATGCATTCGGCCGCTGCTGCAACAAATGCGCGCAAAATGACAAAACGTTGATTCAGTGACCTTGAACAAAAACATGCTACTATTCAAGACGCTGCAGAAAAACAACTATAGAAGATAGAAGGGTGCTGTCGCTGAGTTTTTTATAGCAAAAAGCTTCAGCTACAACATTGATTTGAAACTTTTTGCTATTGGATCATCCTTTTGAGCAGCGTTCTCCATAAACTGCAAATTAACCCTAAAAACCACCCCTAACTGAAAACCCTATGGAAGTACAAGGTCGCAAACTTAATATGTTATTAAGCACATGAAAATGAACCGATCCCCCCCAAAAAATGTTAACTTCTAATTATGTTGAGGTAAACTTCCTTCATTGCTTGGACTAGTAGCAATTTGATCCACATAAAAGGTCTGTTTCTGCAGAAAGCACAAACCAGTCAGAGTGAATTTCATTGGTTGAAACTAGTTTTCTGACTGTTTTCAACCAATGAAATTCACTCCGACTGGTTTGTGATTTCTGCAGAAACAGACCTTTTTCTTTTGTCACCTCTGTATTTTAAATAATAAAATATTTTCTTTTTAAAAATACAAGTTTCTGAATCGAAAATATAATTAGTTTATGAGCACAGAAATAAAAAATATGTTTCTAGGTAGGTACTTGAATCAAATAAAAAATTAAAGAAAATATAAGAAAGTCAATTCTCAAGTGTTTTTGTTGAACACCACACAACAAAAAAAAAAATAAAAAAATATTCCTAACTAATACTGAAAAAACAAAATACAACAATAATATAAAATAGAAAATTAGTCCCATGTAATTATGACATAAACTGAAGAATACTCGTGTGTTAAATGAGAAAATTTTGACTCCTGTATCTTCTCTTCTAAAAAATAAATCCATTAGTACTTTTAAAATTTTTTCAAATCAAATACATACCCTGTTTAGAGCCTTGTTCAGAAGCAACTGCATTAGGATAAGAATTCAAACCGAATTCTCCACGTGCATCTATAGAGGCAAGTGGAACATCAGGAAATACTTTTTGAAACGCTTCCAATTCCATTAAACCGTCAAATTTTGATACACAAGCAATACGGAACGCTAAACTGTGGTATTTTAAATCAATATTTCTTCTAAACTAGAATCAAACTTTTTATTTTTGGATGACTTCAAAATTTCTTCATTAGACTTACATGTACAAGTTTTACAGTAAATTCATCTTTACTCAAATCTGGATCTTCGATGCAACACGAATAGGCATTGAAATTCTCCAAGCTTTTATCTTTCAAAAACGCTATACAAACTGCTTGATGAATGGGATTGACTTTGGTATTGTGCTGGACAGTTTTTACTGTTTTGATTATGCCACCTCCGATTGCTACTGAATTTGAACTAAAACATTTTTGTTGTGAGTATTGCATCAAAAATTGTTATATTTTATTAAAGAGGTAAATCACAGCTTTGCACAAGAAGTTAATATACAACATTTTGCTGGGATTTATCTCTTGTATTTTAATTACTCTTGTAGTAAACAATCCAACAAAGCAGTCAAATAGAGAGTAATTTTGCTCCTGGAAAATATTAACAAACATTTTGTCTCCTCGTGAGGTCTAAGAAGTGAATTATTCTTTGTTTTAACTAGTGGGTTTATTCTTGGATTGCATTCAAACATTAAAGTTCTCACTGAAGGTATTTTTGGAATGAAAACTCCATCAAAAATAGAACCTCGATATTCGATTTCCTCACGGGTTCTTCCATTGCTAAAACATGATATTGTCCTGTGCACCGCCAACAAACAATAATCTACAGATTTTGGTAACAGATCTTCCTTGAAATATTCAGAAACTAAAAATTTAATTTAAACATTGTTTCAATTATTAGCAAATTTTTACCTGTCATATCAACTGCCAGTAACTGTTTTTGCAATCGAACGTAGCCATGCACTTTAAATACGCAACTGTTGTAGAATATTATTCCGATTTCGGCATTGTCATAATGCAAATTGGGGCTGCACGAAATCTCGTCCAAGTCCTTCGTTTTCTTGTAACATGTAAACCAACTGGGGGCCCGTCTCTTTGCCAAGATGTACTGTGCTGCGGCGCCCCACGATTGTGAAACTTCCAAGCAGGATTTTAAGTCATCAGCCGGCAAATAATCAAAAATCAAGTCCAAAATCGGATAGACTCTAGTTAGGGCTTCGCCAAAGTCGAAATTTTCCGTGGGGCTAATGTGGGTTTTTGGTATTTGACGTCGCACGCTTTCGAGAAACAACGAAGGGTTTCGACTCTGCAATGTTTAAATGATTAATTAATAGGAAATATGTTTTCTGTTAAGAAATTACTCCTCTAAGTCTCGACATTTTTTTCGTTTAACAAAATAAATACAAATAATAAATAATAATAAATGTTTGGTTTGGTTATGTTTGTTGTTTTTTTGTTTACTGAAAAATGTCAAATTAAACTGTCAAATGTATTAGGGGTTTTCGCAAATCAAGATCTGAGGTGTTTTCTCGTGTCTCAAAGATTCGAAGCATTTTTCAAAACTGGTTTAAAACAGTTTCACGACGTCATAACTTCTCGGCGCGAGAAAATGGTTTGAAAAAGTGGATTGGATTGTATTTCGAAACGGTTTGAACCAATTTTGTGTGACGTCATGGTTTCAACGCGAGAACATGAGAACATACACTATTTCAAACCTGGGCTGCGTTCAGGAATGGCTACAGCCAAGCCAAAATTGGCATTTTGCGTTCAAGTTCGGCTCCAACCTACGTGGTTCGGCATTTCCGGTGGAGGGGGAAAAGTAGGTTTTGGCATTAGCATTTCCGTCCTTGAACGCACCCCTGGAGTGCGTTTAGAAATGGAGTGTGAAGGTAGAGTAGTTACAGTGACTCTATTACCCACAGTGGCGACAATTGCTGTCTTATTTTTGATTGGTTGTAAAATCCCATATATTTATATTGAAAACGCTGCCATCTTGTTCCCAACCTCTTGTTACTTTAAAATATGAATATATGGGATTTAGGTAAACATCCATCATAAATCATGGAAAACAACGTATTTGATGGACCTAATAATGGTCATCAAATACGTCGACTTCAATTTTTTATGATAGATGATGTCCATTTAAATCCTATATATTAATATTTAAAAGTAACAAGAGGTTGGGAACAAGATGGCGGCGGGACCTCTATTGTCGCCACTGTATGTAAAGGTTTATTTAGCCACTGTAAGAGTAATTGTTTGTCAGAGTGTTCTGACGTCATCACTTGGAGTGCACTCTGGGTGCGCCTTTTCTTCAACGTAATTGGGGCGTTGTGCTAAATGTGAACGTCAAACCCGGTAAAAACCTGGGAGTTTTTCAACCCAGTCCCTGAGTGGGGTAATTTGGGCGCACTCTGGGCACGTCAACCTTCGATTTCTGAACAATTCCAGCGTATTCTAGCGTAACGCTCCGAGTAAGCACCTGTTAATTTATGAACGGTTTAGAGTTACTCTAGGGTCACCCAGGGTGCTGTTTCTAAACGCAACCCTGTATTGAACCAGTTCCAAAAAAGTGGACGCGAGAAAACAGCTCTGATTAACAAGTGTCGTCTCTTTTTATTTGGCTCTATTAAAGCGAGATGGAAAATAGCATCTAATAAATTATCAAATATGATGGAGAAAACGTTATGTATGGCTGAACTTGGGCTTCATACTTACCGTCAGTGGCGTAACTAAGGGCCCGCAGTTGCGGGGGGGCCCGTGATCTTGGGGGCCCCGCGGGGCCTCAGACCAGGCGAAAGTACTAAACTGGTGACAAGAGTAGTATTAAATGGAAGAAAATACTTCAACCTATGAACCTCATAATACATATCAACCATTGAAAAAGTATGTCTGGTCTAACCAATGTAAGAAATCTCAGAGAGAAATAAATGTTCAGACATACCCACAGATGCAAAATTAACTATCCGTTTTAAGTGATCCCACTATTGTTATCTCCGAAACAGGAGGTATGAGGTCGGGTTAATTAAATAAAAATGGCAGATTTCAATATCCATTGGAGGTAAGTTCACAAGGTTGCCAATTTTTTATTTGTTTCCGAGATATAAAGCCTCTTAGGTAAAATGTAAACACAACTAGAAGAGAAGCTGTGTGAAGATAACAAACGCCATTTTGTAGAGAAAAAAGAATCTTGGAACTTTAGCATTGAACACTTTTTTCTAAAGTTGATAGATTTTGAAATAATTCATTAAATGTTTTCTACATTTCCCTTATATTTAGAAAACGTAGATACGAATATTTGGCAACCCTGTGAACTTACCTTCAATGAATACTAAAATTTGCCAATTTTCTCTAATTTAACCGACCTCGTCCCTCTTACCGTTTCGGAGATAGCAAGTGATATCACTTAAAACGGACACCCTGTATAAAGAAAATTTAAGAAAAATATATACAGGGTGTCCCACGACGTTTTTCCTAGGTAATAACTTCGGAACGCGTCATCCAATATAATTAAAATTTTGAGGATCTGGGTAACTTCTTGTGCCACTTCTACCATTGTCATCCAATTTCACCACACTCCAAGTAACGTCAACTTTCGAATTTTAAATGTAACTCATGGTATATTATGGCATTTTTCGATAAAAAATGAAATTACAAAATCGGCAATGCCATATTTGTTAAAGCTTTTTTAAAGAAAATGATAAAAAATTATACAGTGTGAAACATTCGATGATGCGTTGCGAAGTTATCATTTGGGATATATTTATATATATATAGTATGTGTATATATAGTATATGTCCTACATATTATATGGGCCCCGGGAAAATCCTTGCGGGGGGGCCCCGGATTTAAAGTTACGCCACTGCTTACCGTGCGTTTTATCTCAGGAACTATAAGTCCAAATGAGTTGAAATTTTGTTTGTTTGATTGTAGTCCTCTACTGGAGTAAGAATCGCTAAAAATTTCAGCTTTCTATCTATAATAGAAAAAAAGTTATGACCTTTCAAAGTTTTCCAAAATCTAAATCATAAAGTAGGTACCTACCAAGCTGTGCCTTCTTACTACTAAAACGATGAAATTTCATTTTTTTTTTGTTGAGATTTTGTGTCCTAATGATCACTTGGGATTCCCCGAACTCCATACACCAAGTTATTCCTAGATTTGGAGCCGAAATCTGAAATCTATGAAAAATAAAGGCACTCAGAAAAATTGAAAAAACGATAAATCACCCCAAATTGCTTAACAGGATTTTATCTCAGGAACTGTCCAAAGGAGTTGCAATTTTCAGGGATTGTAGTCCTCTACTGGAATAAGAATCGCTGAAAGTTTCAGCTTTCTATCTATAATATAAGTCCAAATGAGTTGAAATTTTCATTTCAGGAATTGTAGTGTGTGCCTAAGAGCCTACAGTACTCATAACCGCGAATTGCGAATTTTTTTTCTGCGGCATTGTTCTATTGGTCCAAATTATTTGAAATTATAATGGCGGGAAAATCTCGCGAATGTTTTCAACTTCTTGGGGCATCGCAAAAAAGTTAAAATAATTTAAGTTCTGTGGATCAGATCGCTAAATTGATTTTTGTGTATACGGGCGAAATAATCAAAATTCAGTTTTTTTACGTCCCTCTACATCTAAAAGCATCTAACATCCATCTCTATTCCTATTCCAACATAAATATATCTACATTTTTTAGTTCTCTGGGGGTTTTTTCCGTACCTATTATTTATTATCAATCCACCAAGCAGACACACATTTCTGGTGATCTGGTGAGAAACAAAACAGTTCCCCTCGCTATTAGGAAAACAGAAGTTCCATTAGATTCCTATGGGTTTTTGTGTGGTGATGCCAGTTTATTAATATGGCTTTTCAGTTTTTCTACTACCACTAGACTTCTGGGAGCCGAATTTCAATGTGTCCGGACTAAAACCACACACAATCAATCAGAATCAGGAGCAAGCAAATATAAAGATTATAAAGTCCCACTGCCGAGATTGCTGAAAAATTATTTTGTTTGATTTCATATCGTTAGCACAATACAATAAACTTCTTAACATTTTCTGTGATCCTAATAAAAGCAGCAATCGGGATTCCGTCTGCGTGTCCGCTTATAGTTTGTCTGTCGTTTCAGGGCACCCAATTGCTATATATGGGCTGAGTATTATCGAGCTGCTTATTTGACTATCGATACTTAGTTAGTACACCCGCTCATTTTCAATAAACTAACAAACTAACTGCTTGGATTGGTTGTGTTGTGTGCTTCTCATAAAGACAAAATTATATGCGGCTCTCAGAAATCTAGCGGAGGTGAAAAACAACTAAATTGAAGAATACACGAGCATTCAGACAAAATAGTTTAAGGAATGTCTGGTGATATATCTTGTGTGATTTCTGTGTTCCTAATATCGCCGTGGCAAAGTTTGCCACGGATCTATGTGTAAGACCCGCTCGGAACACCACAGAATATATATTATTTATTATTGTCGGGGAAAAAAATGAAAGTGTATGAAAATATCCTTTTTTTTTTTCAAATGAAATAAAGACCATAAGATTTCGTTTCAGACCTCTACGCGAGAGTTTTGCTTATAACAAAGTTGAAAAAAAAAGTATTAGGTATACCCACTTCCTAGAGGCCTTAGGTGCTATTTATCGGCCTCTAGGCACGATGTTGATTGATACTTATTGGTTATTAGCCATCATTTTATTTTTCTTGTGGGAATCCAGAATCCAGAGTTGATAAAAGTTCAAACTTTGACTATTACCGGCTCTTGATTGATTCTAGGAAGGTTTTCCAAAGAACCAAGAGCCGAGTTACCGGCTCTTGATTGGTTTTAGAAAGATTTTCCAAAGAACCAAGAGCCGGTAATAGTTCAAATTTTGATTATCTATGGATCTTGATGCATTTGTTAATATTTCTTGAACCAATTAGGAGCTGCGGAAGAAGAAATTTTGGTTAATATCAACTTAAGAGCTGCTAATGATTATTCGAAATTCTTATTATTATCGGCTCTTTGAGCTTTGAATGCCCTTAGAAAAATTCTCTAGCGAATCCAGAGTTGATAAAAGTTCAAATTTTGACTATTACTGGCTCTTGATTGGTTGCAGGAAATTTTTCCAGAGAATCAAGAGCCAGTCAGTAATAGTTCAAATTTTCATTTATATGTGGCTCTTGATCCATTGGATGATTTTTCTTGGGCCAATTAGAAGCTGCAGAAGAAGAAATTTTGATTAATATCAACTTATAAGAGCTGCTAATGATCATTCGAAATTTTAATTATTATCGGCTCTTGAGCCTTGACTGCCTGTAGAAAAATTCTCTAGCGAATCCAAAGTTGATAAAAGTTCAAATTTTGACTATTATCGGCTTTTGATTGGCTCCAGTCTCTAGGAAAGTTTTCCAAAGAGTCAAGAGCCGGTAATATTAGTTCAAATTTTGATTATCTATGGCTCCGTCATCAATTAGATATTTTTTTTGGAGCAACTAAATACTGAATATTTTTTCTCTAATCATTTCAATTTTACATTTCCTCCACGTTTGATTTTTGTAACAAACCTCTATCTTGGTCCCTGAATACTGGTTTCCACTCACTGCCTCATGGTGACTGAGTGTGCGAATGTAAAGAGCCTACTTGCACCTTCATGGGGCCTCACTTGAATGAGGCTCCCAGAGAACAAGTAAAAGATATCTGCCTATGCAGTAAAGTGAATCGGCTTCAGTTCATATAGCGAGAAGGTATTATCACTTAAATATTCTGTTTTCCTGATAACTACCGGCACAACTACCGGCTTAAGTTAGGTCACAACTATGCCTTCATTTTGTTACTGTGCATTTTGTAAAATGGACAACTAACTTATTAGTTGTGAAATATTGAAAACAGTCTCTCTTCAGTCATAATCAGCAACTTTAGCAGATTTTTCACTTTCGCTAGCTTCTGCGAGCCGAATTTAAATGTATCCCCTACGGGACCAAAAGAAGACCTACCAGAGGCTCACTTTGAATCCTTCTCTATTCCTATCCTGTGGCTCACTGAATACTGAACTGAATTACAGAAGAGAAATTGAAATTATTTACAGCTTCATCTACCTACTACTTAGCCCCTCCAATTCAACTTTTGATATTATTTTTCAAAAATAACAGTTGATAATTGGTTGCCTTCTACTTGGGAGTAACACGCCCATCTATATGTAAAATTATTTGACAGCCTAAAAATCCTTGAATAATTATACATTATATCACATATTATGATTATTGAAAATAAATACATAGGTATTCATTCTCTTCAAGCAAGCGTCCATTTTGCATTGTAAGGAAGCCCGCCAAATGGTTTCTCAGATTCCTGAAGTTATTAGGAACACAGAAATTCTATGGGATATTTGTGGTTCATTTCATGCCGAGGATCAGTGACGACATAAATTGAGAATAAGCCCTGCCCTCCATCGCCATGTTGCTCCTAACTTGAATACACTATAAAGCATTGGATTTTGATGAAATCACCCACTATGATTAAATATTATATGAATCTATTATCTCTATCATCTCACTATTTAATTTAAAAATATGCAAAAACTAATAAAACCGTTAATAATAAAATTTGAGAACAATAATTGAGAATATGCCCCGCCCCGGCCGCCATGTTGCTCCTAAGTTGAATTTACATATGCATTGGATTTATTAGGACCGCTCAAATTCAACTATACAGTAGTCATTAGTCATAAGAATCTCATAGAAAATGATGGAACCGTAAGGTGGAAAAATCAAACGCAAATTATTTACATCAATAAATAAAAACACATTTATAATTTAATAAAAATTAAATAATAATATCACAAGGTTACAACCTAAAACAAATAAAATGGAATATTCTCAAATACTATGTATGATTTTTGAAATGATGAGCATTATTATTACTAGGAGCGCTTTCGAGTTTGCGCAAGTTTACTCTTGCAGAGTTGAGCTTAGGATCGAGTTTTAGAGCTTTCAGGTACATTTGTTCGGCTTTATCCCGTTTTTCCCAACGATGATATAAAACACCTAAATTGGAATAATAGAGAGCATTGGTTTCATTTAATTTTATTGCTTGTAAAAAGTGAGACTCTGCTTCAGGAAATCTAAAAAAATATTACACTATAAGTAGATTATCATTATTTTAAACTAACAAAAAATACCTATTGAGTTTTCCCAAAGCATTTCCTAGAGCAAAATGTATAGAGGGTGCTCGTGGCACGTGGTGCAAAGCCAGAGCGCCAAGTTCAACAGCTTCATGGGCCCGACCATTTGAGTCAAGTAAAGCCAAAGCATTGCCCCATGCTGCAACATGACTAGGCCTCAATTTTACTGCCTCTCTCCAGGAAACTAAAGCTTCCTCGTGCCTATTCAAATCCAAATAGAGATTCCCTAAATTGTAATGAGCATCAGAATATCTAGTTCTGTACTTGAGCGCATTTTTGTACGAAGATTCTGCTTCCTCTGTCAAACCTTTTCCACTCAAAACAATTCCTAAATTCATCCAAGCCGCCGCAAAGTTTGGCCTCACGTCTACAGCTTTTCTCAACAATATTTCAGCTTCTTCTAATTGTCCACTTTCTCTCAGTAAGTTTGCTAAATTGTTCATAGCTTGTTCATAGTTTGGATATAAATCCAATGCTTTTTTGTAGCTTCTCAAGGCTTCGTCGTATTTACCATTATCAGCAGCCACCTTAAATAAATAAAATGATTTTAATGCAAGCATATTTAAGTCAAATCAAATGAAAATGAGAAAGACATGTCAAAATCTGTTGCCAAAAAAGATGAGAAAGGAAACTCCAAAGACAAAACTAAACAACAAAATTTGTACTTAAGGAAATAGCTGGCTTATTAGCTATTATTAGTACCTATAGCTAATAATAAAAATAAGAACTCCACCTTAGCAATATTATAATGAACCTTAGCATTGAGAGGACACACATTCAAAGCAGACTTATAAAGTCGCTCCTCGCTAATCCAATCACAATTACGGTATATGCTTCTCACAATAAACGTTGTTATAAGCAATATATAAACAGTTGTAAACGCCTGAAAGAAAAACTTTGTAAATTAAATTCAAATAAACAAATATAAATTCACTTACCAACTTCAAATGTTCATAACGATTTTTAAGTTTTTCCAACCCAAGAGCTACCAAAAGGCAACACCCAGCGCTGGGCAATAACAAAGTACGTTCAGCAACAACAAATCCAACTTTTAACAATAAATTACTTGATGGAAGGAATGGTATTAAAATTAGACTAGCACCCATTACACTTACATCTCTAAAAAATCAGAAAACAATTATTTTGACATACAAACTGTAGCGGGTCTTACATTTTTTCACGTTTTACGCAATCGCTTAATATTCGTATTATTGCAGCAGCAATAAAAACCCAAAAACATATAACAGGTAAAATGCGAATATCCGAAAAAGATTGTATAAGTGGTATACATCCCATAGACCAATCAAAACACAACCATTGAGGCCATATAAGTAAAACTGCATTCATTAAATATATGTAGCTGTATGAAAAAATCTAAAAAAAAAAATATTTTTCACGTGCAAAGTATTCTTTATATTGGTTTTACCCTTATAAATAATCGTTCAGCAAAAGCAGCAGGATTATCAGTAGGACTAAAAGTTGGACCTTCAAAATTCATCACTCTCAATCTCAAAAACATTATAATGGTTCCAATAATCCCCATAAGCACCACTCTAATGAGTAATTTCTGTGTGAAAACTTCACTCCAAGCTTTCGAAGGTTTTTTTCTCAAATAAATTTCATATACTAGACATACACCCTAGGATTTTTTAAAAAAATTTAATGCTGTTAGCATAAGTATTCATAAATCTTACCAACACTGTTATAGCAGTTTCTTTACATAAGACAGCAGCACCAGTGAATATTAAAACAACCAAAAACCACATAAAATATCCAGTGAAACTTTTATATAAAATAATGAGCAATACAAAAAGTAGTGCTGCTAATATATCTGCACGGCCGACAAGTGCAGCTACAGCCTAAAAGAGTTAAATTGTTTACTCAATAAAAATAGAAGAAAAGTAAGACAGACCTCAGAATGTACAGGATGAGTGGCAAAAAGTAGTGCTCCAGTAAACGCTGGATCATCCAGAGGCGCCAAAGATTTTCGATGCTTTTTTCTTTTAAGTAAACATTCAAAAAAAGGCAAAATCATTATGGATAAAATACCATGTAAAACTACATTGGCAGTGTGAAACTGAAAAGCATCTAACCGGCTATTGGAAAAAAACATATTCAACCTAAAAAAAATCATTGAAAAAGTTAATTAGAAAATCAATAATTTTGCTTACCTATAGGATAACACAGTTAATGGTCTGTAGCTTTTGTGGCTGACATTCAGACCGATGGCGGTACCCCAAAAATCGTTCAAGAAAACTGATTGTATAGGAGTACTGGGCAAAATATCTTTATTTTTGACAATGGCTTCGGAATCGTCGAATACAAATCCACCCCATAATGAGACAAAGTGGCTGGCCCAGGCGCAGGATGCTATTGATATGAACTTTTTGGAATTTGCGTTTGGTTCCTGAAAAAAAAATCTAGTCTTAGTTTATAATATAGTTTTAAATAGGTACGGTTCAGTTTTTGTATGTTGATTTCCAAGATTCTTCATGTTGAGAAAAAATTGTAATTAAGGGAAAATAGCCTCTAACCTTCCTCTTTACATACAAAAAGTTTCAAATTTTTCCTTTCACTAGTTGTGTGAGACTGTATTTTCAATTAATTCAGTTATTGTAGATTGATTTCCAAGATTCCTCATGTTGTTATTTTCTATTGGAAAAATTTGAATTGAATTGAATAATTGGATAATTGAAAAACATAATGAAAGTGAACATGTATTAGTTAGTTCTGACATTGTTTCAGAAGATCGAATAAACTTTAAAAGCGCATTGATTATGATTTCAGAAGAGGTACAAAATCTCCTTAAAAATGACCCTGAGTGCAAAAAAAAACTTCAAGCTACTTGAAGTTGATACAAGTTTATCTGTATCCAAATCCGAGTATGTATTCTAGCATGATATCATGGAAAAAAGGCTGAACGTTTAAAAAAGGGTTTACTTATTTCCAAATTATTGAAAAAGGAATAAGACACATTCATTTGCCAAAGTTCAGATTAAATTTATTGTTTATGAATTATGGTCTTGAAAACTTGTTCAACTTTTAGGAAAAGGTCCATTTAGAATAAAAAGAAACACCTACCCTCAATATTGTGAAACAATATACATACCTACAGTTGTTTAAAAAGTAGCTACATGACTCGCTACATGATGTGTATTATTTTTGGTATTAGGTATACTGTATTATATTTGTTTTAATTTCCTACGTTTTTTTTTTATCAATTACTTAGGTAATAATATCAAATGCGGGTTTAGGTTAGTTTAAACCCCTGCATTCTGGATTACTAAAATCCAATCATTACTTCTAGCTCTAAAGTCAACTAACGTAACCTTACATTGGATCCTACTCTCGATTCTACTTGATAAACTGCTTTTGTATTTTAACTAAGGGAAATAAAAATTAAAAAAATAAATTTCTTATCACGAGCAATTATGGGAATTTTTAGAGAATTTGTAACAGACATTTGTGGGAAATTTGAGAGGAGTTTAGAGGAATTTGCGGGAATTTGGAGAAATTTGAGGGGAATTTAGAGGAATTTGTAGGGTATTTGGAGAAATTTGTGGTGGGATATTTGGAGGAATTTGTGATGGGATATCTGGAGGAATTTGTGGGGAATTTGGAGGAATTTGCAGGAATTTTGAGGAATTATGTGTAAAAAATTCCCCTTTGAGGAATTGTTTGCACAAATTCTGGGATGGTGGTTTACTCCTCGATGCTGGATTAAGACATTTTATTATTTCATATTATTTCATGGTTGCAATTGAATTACAAACATCAAGACAAACATGAAATAGTTATTTGTTTCTAGATCTAGATGGAAGGAAATATGTATATGTCGAGGTACCTATATGTATTATTAGTATTATTGATCTGGATGGAATGTGGATGATAGTTTATCAACAGGGGCAGATCGAGGGGCAGATACTGGATAGAATGTAATGTAAAATTGCCTAGCAGAGAATTAAAAATAAGAGAAGCAAGCAATTTTCTTGGAATACAAACAGAAAAGTCTAATAATCCTGATTTTGAAACAAGTTTCTAATATTTCTACTGGGCCAGAAGGCCAACAACTTACCATTTTATGGCGATTCCTATTTTATTTCCTCACCTAAGCCTGGACATTACTTTTTGAATGTTTTTATTGGACCCTTCATTTATAATTTTAATAAATTTGCATTTTTACATAAATTGAAAATCGATTTTCCAACAAATCAACAATCAAAACAAACGTTTGACATAATTTCTAACCTAACTTTTTCAAGATGTAGCTTGATTTACAGTGTTGCCACATTAGTAGAAAACCTCTTTAGCTTATTAGGCAATTCAATCGATCTGTCAAAGAGGAAAATTCAATGTGACGTGGCGGCCAAACAAGTTTGTTTTGAATATATTTTTATGCGTATTTTAAATTATTTTGCATACAGTTTTGTTTACAACTTTGATTTTCATTATTTAATAAAATATTTGTTAACTATGTAACTAAACTATTAATTCGGGCAGAAACTAGATATTTTTTTATGTTTTTTGGCCCATGTGTGGCCGCCACGCCATCTTGAATGTCACGTGGTTTGAATTGCCCAATTAACCTTGAAGACGTTGGCGAAGTGCAAATTTGACCATCAAACAGGGTAGATAACTATTCGGAGTGATTGCATATCTTTCTCATTTCAACGAGTTGGAAAGAAAAAGACAGATAAATACGGATTTTCGGGTCTCGGGAACAGGTTCCTATTTGTTAAAGGCCGTTAAATAACTGGCAACATCGTTTTCAACCAATCAGAATCCAGAATTTGACCAACTGTCAAACTTCAAAAATGCATTTTTTTCTCATTTTTGACTTTTCTGCCAACCTTTTAGAAAAAAATGTATGAGCCTAGAACCTAGAAGAAAATGTCGTTTTTATTGTTAAATTACGGGAAAACAAGGTCCATCACACAAAAGTTGGACTGATGCGATAGTTTTCCAAAGAAAATAAGAGTGGAAATTCGTTGTAACGTCGTTGGGTTTCGGTTATTTGAGCGTGAGTGAGGCGGTTTCCTGTCTATGTTGATGTAACCCAAAGTTGGACCCAAAATGGACGAAAATAACGTTCAAATTCAGCCTCAGGGCTCGATTTGTAGTGACTCAAATGGTGAAGAAGCCTATAAAAATGATGGTAAGCCTCTATGTACTGTCTTTTATCTTTTAAATACTATTTGGAGACAGAATTTTTCACAAAAATCTTGGCTAGATGCTAGGTTAAGTCGTATGTTGTCTTTTGAGTCACTCCAAGGAGAAAAACTTTAAAATGATACTTTAGGTAATATTCTGGATAACTTTGTATTAGAAGCATACTCTTTTGCTTGTAAATCTGGAATTCACTACAATGAAGTAGAAATCAAACTTTGGTACCTAACTCCAAACAGAAAAAAACAAGGTTCAAACAAACCTTTATCTTCATCTAAGCCCCTATAGCCCATCACTGAATTCCTACTTCATAATTCATAGGCCTCTAAATTCTAAATTTAAAAGTAAATTGATTAGCAGGAAAAAACCTACCATAGTTTTAGTAGAATCTAAAGCCATCAAATCTAATCATCAATAAGAAACGAAAAAATTTCTTTTCAGCCACTCCAAAGAGAAAAACTTTAAAATGATACTTTAGGTAATATTCTGGATAACTTTGTATTAGAAACATACTCGAGAACATTGGTACTCCTTTGCTTGTAAATCTAGAATTCACTACAATAAAGTAGAAATCCGAGTAGAAATCAAACTTTGGTAACTCCAAACAGAACAAAACAAGGTTCAAACAAACCTTAACCTTCATCTAAGTAAGCCCTTATAGTCCATCACTAAATTCCTACTCCATAGTTCATAAAATAAAACCTCTAGATGAGTTTAATTATAGAGTCTATATAGCAGACAAAAACCTACACCATAGTTTTAGTAAGAACCCAAAGCCCCAAAGCAATCAAAACTAATCATCAACAAAAAAAAAAATATACATTTTTTCTTTCCAGTCTCTCTTGATGCTGACAGAAGAATCTGCCTGATTGGTGGCATAGCCAAAGACAATAAATTCCGAACAGTAGCTGAAAGTTTCAATGTTCCAGTAGTTTCCTCAGTCCACGGAAGAGAATACATGGACGAGACATCTTGCTGTACATATTATGTAATTGATAATTTTGATGGTGAAATCTACAATAGTTTATGTAAGTCGAGACAAACAATACTGGGCCCTCCGGCCTTGCAGCAGTTAGCTAGTAGGGACAAAAAGGAATTGCCTGACAACACAAGACCCTTGTTTAATGTAGCTATGAGAGGCGTTGTCGTGTGTTTTACTGGATTTAGGAATAAGGATGATTTGGTAAGTTTTAAATAACCCTCGTATAATGAACCATGTGTATATTTCATCATCAATATTATTATTTGTTTTCCCAATCAATTAGTATATATGTTAGCAAATCTCACACGCTAAAGTGCAGGAACAAGTGTTAAACACAAAATTATTATCAATGTCAGTATTTATGTTTTGTTTGTAACTTTGTGTGATTCTCATACCACTAATGATAAATATGAGATAGTCAATATTTTTTTGCTAGATAAGCTTTTGAAGTGACTCCGCTTTTATGAGGGTTTTTGATAATTTTTATAGGTGCCAAAAGATTATCTGAACAGCAAGAAATATTGCAGTAAGACAAACAAGTAAAATGTTAATTATTTTCAAAAAATAAGAACACAATCTTCATTTCTTATCTTTATTAGGTGATCAACCTTGACTCCCTACTGGATACTTTTCCATTCTTCCCTTTCCAGCTAGTTTCTTCTCCAACTAAAGTCTAATTGCCATTTGCACCAACTATTTTAGGGGAGCCTTAACAATAATTACTTAAGATGACAGTCTTCCATGGAGAAATGTCAGTTTAAGCCTTAAGGCATAGGTACCTATCATTAAGATTCCCCTAAAATAGTTGATGGAAATGGCCATAAGATCCCCTAAATCGGTATTCCTAGATTTATTCAGGATTTTGTTTTTTGTATAGCTGTTCTTTCCCTGCTTCTGCAAATCATTCACCATGTTTATGCTTCCTGTTAAACCGTTTTAACAGAAGACGTTCTACTATACAATGCTTGTATAAACACCCCATAAACCCTTTTATCTTGTCAAACCGTTTTGATTTAAAATGTTTTGAAAACGTGTTTTAAAAGATTTGAAAAAGGTTTAAGTATTGCGTAAACATCTCAAACCGTTTTAAGGGAGTGTCAGCACTGCTTGTTATGACATTTAAAAACTGTTTTGGGAAAAGTCCACTGATCTAAAAAATAAATGGATAAACAATCATACGGCTTGATTGGCAAAATTTGTGCGAAAATTTGGGGTCAATACTCTACGAACAGTTGTGCAAAGGAACAGCCTAACGCCTGCGCAGTGTCTTATCTTTCGAACAACTGTTCTAAATTTTGAAATTCCTTCATTTTCATTGGCCAGATTTTGTGCACGCACAGTATATGTATCTACTGCGCACGCTCACAGCTGTCCCAGTTAGTTGTTTTTGTTTAGATTATGACCTCGTAAATTAGCAGCATTAGAAGCGTTCTTTGTTTATCCATTTATTTTTGAGATCAGTGGAAAAGCCCCATAGAAGTATAAACACAAGATAGCAACTACAACGGTTTAACAGAAGCATAAACTTGGTAACTGATATCTTTGAAAAATTTTCATGTTTCATCCTAAAAATATGTCTAACCTACCTCAATTTGAAGTTTATGGGCTCTTTCACCAATACGTAATATAAGCATAAATTCTTGTTGTTTTTTTCAATATTTCATCCCATTTTGAGGTAAAAATGATATTGAACCAAGAATTGAACGCATAACAACAAAAATAAATAGACGTTTATCACCTCAGTGATTTAAAAAATATTCTTAGATTGCTGGGGAGTCGTTTCGGCTTTTCAGCCGCTCAGCACTGCTACCTTTGCAGATATTTTGTATGTGAAAAAAAAATATTCCTAACTCACTCTTGGTATTTTAAATCACTCTGCCCCAAGGGGTTTTTCACCTAACAAAATTTGTACACCGATTAACAGTACTAACTGAGATATTTCCATGTATTAACAGATATTTCTATGTACCCGAGTATGTACCTAATTACAAGTTATTGCCAACTATTTTTATGTATTAACAAAATGTTTCCACATAATACCAGGTATTACCATGCTATTGACAGACTAAAATCAAATATTTGTCTTGCCAGAATTCCAGGTATTGGCATATCCACAGATATTTACATGTTATTAATGGGTATCAACCAATGACATTAACATACAGGGTGGAATTTTTAAATGGAATAAATTCAGCATCAGAAAGCCTGTTTATTTTCTGGAAAAAAAAAAAAAAACGGTTCCTTTTATTTTTAGTTTGGCACATTTTTTCGGCCTTTCCATGAAATTTGCCCCTCTCTTAAGGGTAGAAACCACCCCCAACTTTTTTTTTTCAAATGTAAAGATATGTATTGTGATAGCTCGTTACTTTTGCATTTCGGTGATCTAGGAGGCGAGAAAAAAAATAAAAAATATTTTTCCACACAATTTTTTTACAGTTAAAATTGTTGAATATCTCCAGCATTTCTTCTTGGTAGAACCCTAATGCGAAACAAGCCCCATTTGTAACATTATGTAATTATTTCTGACGTTAACACACTATTTGATGCCTGATAATCGGATTCTCAACCCTAAAATAGTGTGTTCATGTCAAAAATAATTACATAACTAGATCACTGAAATACAAGAGTAAATAATGGGTCATATTCCTTTTTTTATGCCCATTCCAACGAGCTATCAAAATACATATCTTTAAATTTGAAAAAAAAAGTTGGGGGTGATTTCTACCCTCGTTTCTACCCCTAAGAAAGGGGTGGATTCCATAAAAAGGCCGAAAAAATTTGCCAAACTAAAAATAAAGAGACCTGTTTTTTTTTTATTTTTCCAGAAAATAAACAGGCTTTCTGATACTAATTTTATTCCATTCAAAAATTCCACCCTGTATATTGCCTAGATATCTACAAGTATTCACATATATTACCTACATAATTACCAAGTAGGTATTGCATAGTATTGACACTATTGACATATATTAACCAGTCATTTGTACACCGATTAACAAGGTGAAAAACCCCTCGCTCTGCCCCTATAAAAATCTGCTACCTTCAATATACTTTATAACCTGATTCCTTGTACTTTATTTTTTGAGTCACGAAAAATGGTATGAAATTTTCTAAATATCATATGAGATGAAACATGTTCATCCATTCGTAGAGATTAGCCCACTTACCTACCTTCTGCTAATGAATAAACATTCATTTATCTCAAAAGGCCACTTTCCCATTTTTCAAAATCATATTTAAATTATTGTGTCATTTTAATACCATCTAATACCATCTATGCATATTGCATATACTTTTTTTTCGAAAACAAAACTTATTTCTGAAAATACAAAGATTTGAAAATCTGCTGCGAAAATGCTGACAAGGACTATGACGTCAGAGTCTCTAGAATTAACAAAAATGCGAGAATGCCAAATTTCTCATTAGCGCATGATTCCAAAACATGACTGCATCAAATTAAAGTATTGTATTACTAAGTGGAAACTCCAGTACATCACATTACGTCCTTTACTACGCTATAAAAAATAAAGGATAGGTATAATCGGAGAACTCTTGTTACCTAGTACAATGAACCTAAATGTTGCCAAATGTTTCTCAATCTCTGTATCTGTCATTAGCAATAAACATGATAATATGGTAATTTTTACGAGCAATAGAAATAAACTTGAAAACAGAAAAAATACATAGGTTTTAAACTTATAGTTATACCTACATATTTGTTACATTATTACATAAAATGCCAAAGTATGTATAGTTGATTCATATTCGGGAATAGGAAAAACCGTTGCATCCATGCTAACAGTTGCTTGAATGGAAATTCCGCATTTCTATTGTGGCAACAAGCACATGAATATCGTCTTCAGCCAATGGGAGGTTGTTTTTTGCTATTTTTATTTATTCCGACTAAAATCTTGCAAAATGTTCAATAAGTCTTCTACAGGCACTTCAAAATTGGAAAAATTCGAAATCATTAAAACATTGACTTATCAAAATTCATTTTTCTTATTTTTTTCTCAAAAAGTACTCTTAAGTTTTTCAAAAGTAATAAGGGTGCAAACATTCTTATTTTTAGTTGTTTTATTCAATTATGCCAATTTTAAAAAATTAGTAATAGAGCCCATTGCTTGTAAATCTCTGTAAAGTTTTCTGGGTAGAACAAGTCTCCGACATCTTGTATACAAAAATTAAAACTTCTTTCTGCTATGGTAGGAGTAACTGATTTTTAATATTGAAATCCTGTTCTCCAATGGTTTACAAGCTGAAAATCTTCTTATTCTCATTGACTCTATCATTGTTTATCTCAATAAATTGTAGTTGAATTTCAAAGAAAGCCATTGCTTTATGATTATGTATGAATTCAAAAGCACCTGGTAATTTGTCCCTATCCATTTTCTTGTTTTTTCCAGCTCAATTATCTTTAAAAATACCAAATGTATGCAAAACAAAACCATATTTTTCCTGCAAAATCTTGAAAAAGAAACAGTTTTTGAAGCATGAAATAGTGTTTGTTTCGAGAATTCTGGAAAAATAAACAGATTAACGAAACAGGAGCCGGAACAGTAGTGTTTATGGAAAATTTAGATTTCCCTTAATTGCCTGGTTTTACGGCCAAGAATAAACGAATTCCTTGTTTGAATGAAAAACAATTTTTCATCGGAATAGGTAGGTGCAGTCCAGATGTTGTATTCGCTTAATAATTGAAATCCTGAGGATTTAATTAGGCCAGCTGTTTATCCCAAAGGTCAAATTATTATCTTATGCTTATTTTGATTCGCTCTTGTGTTATTCTACAAATGTTTTTTTGCGCAGTGCTAGACTTTAAGGAATATTTCATTAATTATCTAATCTCCCCTGTATTATTTTGTAATTGATGCAAAATAAACCAGACAGTATGGCAGCAACTTTCTTTGTGTGAGCACCAATTTTTTCTTCTAGACAAAATTGGTACCATTAATCCACCACATGGGTGGTTCCATACGCAGAGATATGACAGCAAAAGTAACACATTTAATAGCAAACAGTTGCGGAGGCGATAAGTATCAATACGCTTCAACTTTCAAAGTTCCAGTGATGAACCTGCAATGGGTTATTGATAGCTGGGAACAACATCGCTACGATTTGGATTTCAGCGCTTCGCAGGATTCATTTGTGGTAGGAATGTGAATCTTGTGGTGATTTCTTGTCTGAAACTTTTTTTTGTTTATAGAATATGTACAAACTTAAGCCTTTCCATGGAGCCCGGGTTTGTTTCTTGGGCTTCCCAGAAGAAGAGGAGAATCACATGACAGAAGTTTTGCTATGTAACGGTGGCACAGTTACCACTCCCGAAGATCCTAATTGTACACACGTGGTAAGTTGCTATTTTGTTTGTATATTGAAATAAATTGAAGGTTACTATTAATTTCATGCTTTCTGCTAAATCTCTAAAGTAAGTGTTGTTATATTATTATTGTGGTTTGTTCAATATTTGTGTCATTTTAATGTGAAATGTCTTTTTTTAGTTATGTTAGTCATGTTTATCTATGGGCATCTATTATTTATTCAGAGTAGTTCAAAGGCTTATGAATATTGCTTTTTAAAAATGGATATTGGTTATATGATTAAACTTAAAGCTAGGGTGGTGGTTATAAAATAAATTATTTTGAGTATGTGGCAGACTTTGGTTGTTAGGAGGAATATTTATGACAATAGTTTCTGAGGGGTCAGCCACTATGCTCACAAAAGTACAATGATTTCCATATTTGGCAATCACTGATCAATGAATCTCATGTATTCCCATCTCAAGAATTGCGACTGATTGTCAACGATTTTCAGATATTTTTTTATGAAAACCAGGTGAATTCCATTTTTTTTGGGGATTCCTATATCATTCTCAATGATGATGATGTTCTACATCATTTGATGATTTCCTACCATCGTCCAATTTGAAAAATTGGAAACTTCTGTATTTGCAACTCTTCCAAAATCTAGCAGCTTTTATTTCCATGGTTGTCCACACCCACGCAGATTTTGTTGTAGGTATAAAAAGTTGTTGAGCCCTAGATACCATTGCGTGTCTACACTGCATAATATGGATCTGATATAATGGATATTTCTTTAATTTCACAAGAATGTTCATCTGAATCAGAGACATCTTCAGCTACACGACAAACTTATTTCTGATTCTGATTCAGATGTGCTATCGTCTCTGCTTCTCGCCCTACTTAGTATTTATTCCACTTTCCCTTTTCAAGTTCTTATTGCCTTGGATTCCTGACTTTGTCTTTCTCAGAGACTTTGACTTTCCCATAGGTCTTAATACTCGATCGACAAATGTTCCTGCTTCTCTGAAAATAATCAAATTCAAGTTGAGCCCTGAATAATCTCTCAATTTCAGCGAATCGCACTTGCTAAACCCTCATTTATGGAGAAATTCTATTTCTTCTTTTGGCAAGTCGGATTCGAGAGAGGTTTCAAGATTCATGTTTTCATTTTCATGATATACAACATTGTCATACTTTAAGTCTGTTCTCACAGAAACCATAAACCATTCAGAGCGAATTTCATTGGTGGAAAATAGTCGGAAAACGGGTTGTTGGCGATTTGCACCAATCAAAAACGCTCTGACTGGTTTGGGATTTCTGTGAGAACAGACTTAATCTTCATCTCGTTCTTCATCTTCTTCAAGTTCTAAACTCTTCATAGTCTCGAGTTCAGTTATTGCCTAATGGCTCAGTTATTGGGAAACTCGTTAGGAAATTAAATTTATTTCAAATTTTCTAGCACTCAATGTTGCCTAAAACTTAGTCTTAAAGCCAAATACACAACTGACCGGTACGCTGTATCGTTTGAAATGTATGATATGCGATTTCTGGCTTGGAACGAGATGATATTTCCAGCGATTACCACATGATTCTCAGCGATTGCCAATGGATTCCTATGTGATTCCCATGGAGTCCTAGGAGATTTCTAGCGATTCCCAGATACTCCTATGTGATTTCCATGTATTCCTGAGTGATTACTATATAATTCCCAGAAAAATATACAATGATTTCCACCAGTGGTTTACCCTTTGATAGCTTCTACACCACTCGATAGCTTCTACACCACTCCAGTGATTATGGTTATTGGATTCTTATTAGGAAATTATATAAATAGTGTCTGACGTTCTGGTTTTGGAAACATTTCAGGCGATTTTAATTTGCATCATCTTGACAGGTTACAGAACAAATATTTTATTATAACAATACAGAATTCCTAATAACTCACATAAGGCACCGAATCAATAAGTCATGCTACCTGCCAATTGACTTAATTTTATAACCATATTATGAACCTGACTTATAAATTTGTTCCAAATAGTGATAATAATAAAAGTACATATTATGAAAACCTACCTATATTTTTCCTAGAAATTTGCATGAAAGCTATAAATTGGGTATATTCCTCCAAGATACTAATACCAAATTTCACCAATAAATTCTAATTGATGACTTTATAGAATCTCAACAAACCAATATCCATTTGCTTCACTGTTGCTTTCTAATTTGTTTACACTGATAATTTGACTTTGAAATGCTCATAAACAAAACCAATGGTCGTGGGTTTTTTTTCTTTATAGGTTATGGAAAACTCTGAGGTGTACACACTGGAAGCTGCGAACGCTGCACAACTTACCTCTCCCATAGCCAAAACTTTCCTTGCCGAACCTTCCCTTCTGAAAACCCCAAATAACAACAGCATTGTCGATATTAATTGTTTACAAAGTTTGGAAACTTTGCAAGAAGTTTCGCGTAATGAAGATTTGGTTAATGAAATGGATAGTATTTGTTTTGAAGATCAGTTTAATGTTTCTGTGAAAAGGAAGCGAGAATTCGGTTCTCCTGATAGTACGTTGATTATTAAAAGAAAACGAGATAAAGTCAGCTACAGTGAAAGAAAGAAAAAAGTTTCTAATTTTTTTAAAACTCCTATAAACTATTTTTCAAACAGGAGACGCACCATTGATGCTGCAAGTTTCGATCATTCTTTGAACGATAGTTTTATATCCGCTTCAGGCGTTTTTAACGTTGAAACTCTAGATAACTTAAACACAACGGATGCAACTCCTAAAACAAGTTTAAGAAAATCCAAGAAAAATTTATTCACAAGAACCTTCAGCTCTTCAAGATTCACCAGGAGCAAATCGAAAAAAAGCTTGTCAAAACTATCATTTATCGAAGACATTAATCAAGATAAACTGAATGCCAGTTGTTTCCCAGATATTTCCTTGAATCCACAATTTCCTTTGCGCAATAGCGAAATAGGCGTCGGCGATATTGCACAGTCATCCAGAAGAACTTCTGCTCTTGCGGTACTAACTTCCATTTTTCATGTTTCATGTTAATTTAGGACTCAACATAACAGATCAACTCTTAACTTGTTGTTGTTTTTCCATGAATTAGGATTAAGTTAATAAGGTCATTTGGGTTTCAAATTTATACTACCTGTCTTATATGGGTTCATTTCATATGGCTACCTGTTATTTTTGGTTTGTAATTTAAAGATCTTTTATGTTGTGTCCTTTTATTGTGGGTCATAATAATGCTGGTGAATTAAAAATTTCCTTAGCTAAATAAAGGTTTCTGCATGAGCAAAAATGTTTGGGGGCTTAACTTATTTTTGAAAATGCACTTAGAATATCTACTCCTTTACACTCACTGTACAAAATCTTATATAGGGTGTTTTATGTCTTAAGTAATTCTACAGGGTGGGGTTAGTATTGACAAAAACCCTATATGCATGCTAAAAATTAGCCTTCTTGATTCTCATTTTTGACACTAAAAACTTAAAATTGCTTTGCCCTGTATATTAAATAACTTCCTTGGAGAGTTTATGGCATTTTTTTATTGTGTATATTGATGACAGGGGTTAGGACTTGATATTTTTAGAGAAGTGGTAAAAGACCCTGTATAACTTTTCTTATGTTGTGTAACATAATTTAAAACAACCTTTCAAAACTTACTTGAAAACATGTATTTCTAACATTAATAATATGAAATTGGGTTTGTTTGCAAAGGAAATTTTTAATTAATATCTAACTTTTCTAGTAGCTAAATTTGATTTTTGTGAAAAAGATTTTGGAAAATGTTTGAGCATCAATAAAAGTTTATAAGTTTTCTTAAACTCTTTTATGCATTCTTACAGATTCATCAGCCCTACTAAATGGATGGACCTATCTAAAACATATTTCCAACATAGGTTTTAAAAACAGCTTTAACCCCATATTTTTTTAATTTCTCCCTCCATACAGGTGGTGGATGAATCCGTGGTTGGAGAACGTCCTGATGTATCTGCCCCTCGTGCCTACATTGTCAAAGCCGAATGGTTCTGGACCTCTGTACAAAAAGAGTGCAGTTTGGATGAAAAAGAGTATCTTTTTGATGACTATATTGAGCATATTGTTTCGCCTGGACCGGGAAGAAGGGAAAGTCATGCCACAGCGACACCTAGCAGTGCTAGCAGGTATAAAAACAAGTCAATTATTGAAAAAAATAGATTGATCATTTGTGTTTTCTAGCAGAAGAAAACGTAAACGAATCCACGAAACTCTTCAATCTTTGGTACAACAGACGCAGTCTCCAGCGCTTCACAAGCGTCGTTCTTCGGTAAGCGATGCCGGTCTTTTGAGCGTCTCTGGTTCATTTCTGGATTGCACAGCTAGCCCGGTTAGTACTACATCCACTACTAAAGGAAATAGACGTCTGTCGGTAAAGGTTAATAATAAATTTATGTCTGAGTGTTGTTTATATGCTCAAGATTTTTTTATTTTGTCTGTTGCACTGTGAAGATTTACTTGAGCTATTTTTCTCACAACTCTAATTATTGTTCATCTCTACTAGAAATAATATCAATAGGAAAGTTGTGAGAAAAATTATTAGCGTGTTTTACCTTATTCATGAAAAAATCAAAGACAAATGCCTTCTCATCTTCTACAACAGTACGAACAATGAATTCCACAAAATGATTTGGACAAAATTCGTATAATAAATAAGAAACACAAATTGAGAAGTTAATATGTTTGTTGGAAGAAATTTTCCAAATATTTATCATCAATATTCAATACAAATTCTTCTTAAACTCTAACAGGTAGCATAAAATTGCCCTTAATTTGCATAAATCAAGTACTGGTGGTTAACTTCTAATTACATATTGGTACCTGTAGTAGCCAATAGATTGACTTGGGGTCTAAAACATTACCTGATTCAATTTTTGGGGCTGGATAAATCTTTGAATTTGTTGACAACACATTCAGTGTTCTTCAAGCTAAGGCAGTACACACTGCTACTTCTAGAAAAGTTGTGTTTGTAGAATACCTGTCCATAATCTGTGTGTATTATTGTCAAAAATGTCAACTTTGATTTACTCAGCTGCAGTGTTTAACCATACAATCAATGGTATTTGTGAAGATGAATATAATGAAACTGCAGATGAATTTTATGAGTGGGATTTGTCTTTCAATTTTTTGAAGGAAGAGGTTTGTGTTTTTTTTGTGTATATTATTTGAAACCTTTATTACTCATTATTTTTGTTTGAAACTTTTAACCCTTCTACAAATTGAAGTAGAATTTTTGTGCTTTTGAAATAAGTAATTAATTTCAATTCTACTTCAATTTGTGAGCGACTCGTTCAACTATTAAATAATTTACTCTTAAATTTAGGCTGAAAAGGCAATAATCGATGTGTCAGATGCTCAAAAAGAAACACCAAGAAAAAATTTGACTGCGCGTCATCAAGTTTTCCTTGAACTATTACAGACAGAGTCAAATTACGTGGAAATTCTTCGTACCATAGTTACCTTGTTCAAAAACCATTTGGAAAATATGCCAGATGAGGAAGCTCTTTTGAATAACACAGAGTTGAATCTAATTTTTGGAAAACTACCACCTATTTATGAGACGCACTTGAAAATGTTGGATGAGGTAAGAATTTTTTGGAATTGTTAGTTAAATTTTATTTGTTCTACCCCTAAAGAAAGTTTGTTTTCATATGGATTTTGCTTAATTTTGTGTGTAGAAGTCATGCGAGGGGTAGATCGCAAGGCAGTTTTTGTACACCAGATTGCAGTTTTAGGGGAAATCATGGATGATTTTCCATGATTTCCCCTGATTTCTACCCATAAGATTGTCCAAGATTTCCTTTGATTTCTATAAAATTCCCCTAATGAATAATTATAAGATTTTTTGTCGCTCTGATATTTGAAGTAGGAGTTGTCGCCTTTGTGTTACTGATAAATTTTTCCAACCGGTCAGTGCTTATTCTTTCCCCTTCTCTTCTTTGAGGTTTTCCCTGATTTCCTTAAGATTCCCTCTGATTTGCCTTAAGATTTCCTATGATTTCCTTAAGATTTCCCCTGATTTCGTTGAGGTTTCTCCTGATTTCCTTAAGATTCCCTCTGATTTCCACTGATTGCATTCGATTTTCTCCGATTCCCTCTTGATTTCCCCTAATTTGTACACCAAATTTCCCTTGCGGTTTATCCCTCGAAGTCATGAGAAGTTTCCAACGATTTCACATACTTGTATGAAATGGTTTTGAGTAACATTAAATCGTAACTTTATATTTGCATTATTCTAAATGTCTATGTTCCCTTCCAGTTTCGTTGGACGTCAGCTCATTGGAACGAAGAACGCAGCATAGGCAATATCATCATTAAATATTCTACAGAATTACAAAGGGCCTATCCTCCGTTCATCAACTATTTCGAGGAAATGAAAGAAGTGCTGAACAGTTGCGACCAATCGAAACCGCGTTTCCACGCTTTTCTCAAAGCGATGCAAACTAAACCAGAATGCGGCAGGCAAAGTTTACAAGAGTTGATGATCAGGCCGGTGCAGAGGCTAGGAAGTATTAGTTTGTTGCTAAATGGTAAATTTGTGAGTGCTTTTTGAAAAAAATTATTAATAATATTTATTTTTGCAGATATGCTTAAAAATACAGCAAAAACCAATTCAGATCATGGAGCTTTAGATCAAGCATTGGCAGCTTTAAGGGAAGTGATGACGCATATAAACGAAGACAAACGCAAAGCTGAGGGCCAAGTAACACTGTTTAATATTTTCAATGATATTGACAATTGCCCAGTAAGTATAGCAAAATAAAACTTTACAAAAGCAATTTCTCTAATCTCAAATTTTCTTTGTCTAGGCCGAGCTAGTTTCTTCACACCGAAGTTACATGGCCAAGTCTGATGTAATTCAGCTATCTTCTTCTGAAGGTTTGGCAAGTAAGGGCAGCAGTTTGGTGATGTTCATTTTCAGCGATCAGTTGGAGGTTTGCAAGAAAAAATCAAAGTCATTCAACAGTACAAAGAGTCCTTCGGCTAGCAGCTTTCAGATTCAGGGTAGACCTAATGTCAAACCGTACAAGCATGTAAGGATGATGGCTTTGAATACTATTAAGAGGGTAAGAAATAATGTGATGAAACTTTTTTTAAATTTTACTAATAGTTATTGTTGTTTTACAGGTGATTGACATTAAAGAAACTGAAGACTGTCAAAAAGTGTTTAGCCTTGTTTGTCGAAGCAACGAAGAGAGTAAAGAAAGACTGTATTCATTTGCAATGGCTGATGAAGAAGCTGACAAAGTTGCCTTTTTGAGAACTTTAACGCGTACAATGGCCAATAATGTTTGTTCTGCAGATGCTGTAAGTAAATTAGTCAACAATTCTTAGTGCAAATATTTAAATTCAATTATTTTTTTCAGGATAAATTCATGGCTTATCTGGAACCTCATCAGCTGGCCATTGACACTAGTGACTTGAGCAATGGTACCCTGTCAAAGGCTTTCAAATTTGCAAAAACGCGACTGAAGGTGAGTTCGTCCAGTTCATTCAGAGCAATCAAAAAACGTTTGATGAGAGCGACAGTCAAACTTAATATGACCACATAGACGATATTTTGTTCCTTTTTGGGTTGATCTGGTGTATCATGGATATAGCCAACCAGTAGCAAGATGCTGGGTTTTAATTTTATACTATGACAAATCCGGACATAGTATAAAAATGTGGCTCTTTGATTTTTCCAAAATCAACTTTTTTTTTATTCTAAGTTTTATTGAGTGAGATTTGTGCTAGTGCAATATTATGTTTGTTGAAATTTTGCAACCAATGTGTTCTTCGTTAAGAAATTTCAAGTGATATTATTGATATTGTGTCTTTTTAACTAATAATTAGGATTATCAGTGTCATATTTTTGATGTGCCTCCCAGTTGATGTGATCCATTTTATGAAGAATGTGGAAACTGGAACATATTAGCCCATTCCCAATATATGCTATGTCATTTTTCCTAATTATTATAATTTTGTGATATAAAATTTTATTAATTTATTATATTTGTTTAATTTCTTGAAACCTTTTGGATTTTTTTTTGTGTAAAATAACTTGCAAAGAAGCTTCTTCTGTTCTTTGTCCTCTTATATCTATGATGTCTTTGTACAAAAGGACGACAATTGGACCACTTTTGAAGTTTGCCATGGAGTTGGCCCTTTACAGAGCTGAAATCTATTGAGGGAAATTAAAACAAATTTAATAATATGTTATAATAGTACCTGATTTACAACAATATATAAGTGAAATATTATAGTTGATAATTGTGTTTTTCTTTCTCCTTGGGCCACAATATTACTTGACACGATGATATCTCAGGAACTATAAGTGCAAATGAGCTGAAATTTTCAGGGATTGTAGTCCCTTTATTAAAATAAATTTCAGTGAAAATTTCAGCTTTCTATCTATAATAGAAAAAAAGTTATGCTCTTCCAAAGTTTTCCAAAATCTAAATCATAGGTTACTTCTTACTAAAACGATAAAATTTCAATTTTTTTTTTGTTGAGATTTTGTATCCTTATGGTCAATTAACATCCCCCAAACTCCATACACTAAATTATTCTCAAATTTGAAGCCGAAATATATGAAAAAAAGCACTCAGAAAAATTGAAAAATTGATAAATCACCCCAAATTGCTTAACACGATTTTATCTCAGGAACTATAAGTGCAAATGAGCTGAAATTTTCAGAGATTGTAATCCCTGTATTGAGATAAATTTCAATGAAAATTTCAGCTTTCTATTCATAATAGAAAAAAGTTATGCCCTTCCCAAGTTTTCCAAGATCTAAATCATAAGGTAGCTAAAGATATCATATATGTACAGGATGTTTCAAATTCGAGCCATATCATTGGGATCTCGGAAACAGTAAGATATACAGGGTTGGTTAAATGGGGGCAAAGTTGCGTAATTAGATGCTTAACAAAATGCCGCTTTGATATTTAAGGTATTCCGAATACTTCCGGAGATATCCGGAGAAAACCCACATTTTGCAAAATTGTTTTTATTTTTTCCTGACTTTATTTGAAGTGATATTCCAAAATAAATGTCACTTCATCATTGTCACTTTTTCTCCCCTACAAGATGCTACCATCAAATTTAAAATCTGACGTTTCGTCTTTGGGCCACCATCATCAACTCTATTTTTTCAAATACGATCCTGGATTTTTTATTTCAGATTTTTAGTGCTTCTGATATCCCAAAACCTATGACGTATCGCATTTATTCAAAAAAATATGTTTTCTACTTGTTAGTAATTTCCTACCAAAATTATCTTCTCTGTCTCTCTCTAACACATTTGGTTCTTATGGAAAGTACCAATAATATAATTTTTTTGAATAAGTGCAATATGTCATTGGTTTTGGGACATCAGAAGCTTATGAAATTTAAAATAAAAAAAGAGGGTCCGTATTTAAAAAAATGAAGTTGATGATGGTGGCCCAAAGACGAAACGTCAGATTTCAAATTTGATGGTAGCATCTTGTAGGGGAGAAAAAGTGGCAGTGATGAAGTGACATTTATTTTGGAATGTCACTTCAAATAAAGTCAGGAAAAAATAAAAACAATTTTGCAAAATTTCGGTTTTTTCCGGATATCTCCGGAAGTATTCGGAATATACTAAATATCAAAGTAGAATTTTGTTAAGCATCAAATTACGCAACTTTGCCTCCATTTAACCAACCCTGTATATCTTACCTTACCGTTTCCAAGATCCGAATGATGTGGCTCTGAAATACCATGTACAGGGTGATCTATTATAAATGTCACCCTCTTCTAACTTTTTCATTTGAAATTTTTGACAAAAGTGTCTAATACAAAAGTTTCAATAAATTGTCGAAAGTTTTTAACTAAGTCAGTTTTAGACATACAGGGTGTGTCAAAAAAGTGTAGCAATGTGAAGTTATATTTTTTTAAAATGGAAAATCCTGCATATTGTGCGCTTATTTGTTAGTCACTTTTAACCTGATTTCAACCTCTTTCAAGGTTTCATACTGAAAAAAGAAAAATTATACCATTGAAGCTTTAGAGAATTTTTTTTATGAACAGTTTATTGTTAAAATTTTATTCATTAATATACAAGGTGAAATATTATAATAAATCCAGGTGTCTAAGTTATTATTATTTTTGAAAAAAATAACATGAGAGACCTAGCAAGGGATTTTCGCGTTTTTCCCTATAACTATTGAAGATAAACCGAGAGATAAACATATAAAACTGTATATCGTTGAAATCAGATTAAACGGGACTAACAAATAAGCGCACAATATACAGGGTGTTCCATTTAAAAAAATATAACTTCACACTGCTGCACTTTTTTGACGCACCCTGTATGCCTAAAACTTAGTTAAAGAGTTTTGACAATTTCTTAAAACTTTTGTATTTGACACTTCTGTCAAAAAGTCAAATTATAAAGTTGGCAGGGGGTGACATTTATAATGGATCACCCTGTACATACCATTTAAATTTAAATCAAAACCGCAATCTCAGAGGACACCACCAAAAATTAAAAAGAGAAAGGGCCCTACTGCTTGGAAGAAGGAACTTCCTGAGCAACCGTGTCGTATACCAGTGGAATTCTTTAAGTGAAGAAACTATAAGTGCACCTAACAAGAATGTATTTGAAAATAGACTAGACAAAAACGTAGAAACGTTGAATAATGCCACAGTTCCAGTAACTAGAAGACAAGCATCGGAAGCGGCAGACGACGGAGCTGCATCTCCTCGCGGAACCCCACAGCCCCTAGCGGAAGGTAGTGAGGCAAGTGGCGCACCTACGCGAAACCGTACCACAAGGTCACGCACCGCAACAGGACAAGATCCCTCTGTGAGAGAAGAAGACTTGGCTCGTACTAGAGACGATCCCGTCTCTCCTCCACAAACCCGGTCGGGATGTGTGCGCTGGACAAGGAAAGATAACCTAGATTTACTACCGGGCTACAAACCTCGAACAAAACCTAACGGGCTATAGAGACCGACTGCTTGATATATGGTCAACGCATCAGCCAGACTTCAGACGAAAAGCTCAACAGTTGTCGGATCAAGTACGATCCTTACTAAAAAGAAATGCACAAGCTGAAATAATCTTAAAGACGAAGTCAGACGAGAACAGCATGTTGAAGAAAGCGACCATGCCACCGAACAACCTGACGATTTCAATAACTGTACCAGAACTAGCATACCAGAACGTCGAAGAACGAGATATTCAATACTCCCAGAGCCTGCACCAGAAGAAATCAACGAACAGATAAAAAATCGATTCGAATCTTTGCATCTAAAGTATGAAGGTATAGATCTGTCACTCTGGCCAAACATCAAAAAAATTAGATATAACATAAAAACAAAATCAACTGTATGCAACATAAACAAAATATTACAACAATATCTAGCAAATAGCTCATCACTGGAAGAAACATGTCACCTTACCTACTGCGCAGCAGTAACGGTCTGCATAATAACAGGTAGATGAAAGGTGAACAAAATTCAAGAACTCCACGAAACATTACATCGGCTCCACCCTGGAAAAAGAGATTGGAGAATAAGATAAACTCTATTAGAATAGAAGTAGGAGTATTGCATACTTACCTAAACACAGAAGATCCTACTAGGCGAACAAAACTAATCATACTAGGCATTACTCGGCGATACCAACTACAGAACCAGGCAAAACCGGAACTGAGAGACTTGCTGGATACTCTGAAACAAAAAATTTCAGCATTGGGATGCAGATTGAGATGATACAATGAATCTGAAAAAAGGAAACAACAAAATAGAGACTTTACAACAGACCCAAAAGTATTCTTTAGAAAGCTAGGGGAAAAAGAAACAGCAGCTGAAGGAAACCTGGTAGAAGAGGAGATTATGTACGACTTTTGGAACAACATATGGGGGCAAGAGAAACAACACCAGGAAGCATACTGGATAAAAGATGAAGAACAAAGAGTTTCAAACTTACCTCAGATGGAACCTCTTCAAATTACCACCAACCAAGTGAAAGAAGTTGTAAAAAACTTGAAGGCTCCAGGTGTTGATAAAATCCAAGCTTACTGGTGGAAGCACTTCCCAAGCACTCATGAAACACTCTCAGGTCAGTTTTCAAATGCATTGCAGAACCCAGGAATAATTCCATCATTTTTTACAAGGGGCATAACATATATGATTCCTAAAAATAATGGAATAAACGCTCCAAAAAACTCCGTCCTATTACATTTTTGCCGGTAGTTTACAAAATACTATCCTCCGTCATGGAAAAAGCTATCACGGAACACCTTAGTAGACAGAACGTACTAGCAATAGAACAAAATGGCAGCAGAAAAGGCTCAAAGGGAAGCGCCGAATGGCTTATCGATTCCATTCCATAGTGGGAAGACAGGCCAAAAAAAAACAACAGAAATCAATCGCCTGGATTGACTATAAGAAGGCATTCGACTCCGTGCCTCACTCCTGGATCCTAAGAATACTTTACATCTATAAGATTGACCCTAACGTCATTAATGTTCTTGACCTTATGGGGACATGAAAGACCTCCCTTTCGGCAAGTTCAAAAGAAAGGAACTATATTACAAGATCGTTACGGATACGCAGGGGAATCTTCCAAGAAAACAGCCTTAGCCCGCTGCTATTCTGTATGGCAATCAACCCATTTAGCTTTATGTTAGAGTCAGGAAAATACGGCTATTTAATACAAAAATCACCAACTGTAAAAATCTGCCATCTCCTCTACATGGACGACTTGAAGCTGTATGCATCCAACCCAGAACAACTTAAGGGACTTCTCACTTCTCGAGCTTGTCGGTGCATTTAGCGAGGCTATCCATAATATGGAGTTTGGCGCTGATAAGTGTGCATTTACTGCTAAAAAGGAAAAATCCAAGAATCAGAGGAGATAAAACTCCAAGGTGAAATGGTTTTCTCCCCACTATCAATCGGAACGACATACAAATACCTAGGTATGCAGCAGGCATTAACAACGGATCATAGTGACATGAAAAAGCGTATTGTGAATGCATTTATGGGAAGGCTTAAAAGTATCCTCAAAACTGAGCTGTACGCAAAAAATAAAATTACAGCCGTAAACATGTGGGTTTACTTAGACCGTAAAATAAGGACATCTATGACCAAGTACCGCATGCACCACCCACATGCATCTAGCTCAAGGTTGTACTTACCCAGGTAATACCTACCAAAAATTACCTGAAATTTATAGCTAAACAACAAATTGAAAACGACAAATGTCGACTCTGCCATACATCTGCTGAAACAATCCAGCATATTTCCTAAGCATGCACTTACCTTGCCCCAAGGCAATATCTCCAAAGGCATAAGAAAGTTGCTGGCATACTCCATCAAGCAATCTGTAAGAAAATGCTAATGTTACAAGAAGAAAAACCATACTACATGTACTTATCTGAGAAAATCCATGAAAATGATGAATGCAGGATCTACTGGGATACGGACATCATCACGGACAGACCTGTAGAGCATAACAGACCTGATATACTTGTCATTCACAAAAAGGAAAAGGAAGCACACATCATCGACATAACAATCCCTCTGGATGATAACATAAGGAGCGCAAGAACTGAAAAAATATCAAAATATACAGAGCTAGCACAGGAAATGAAAGCCATATAACCTACGAAAAATCATTATACTCCCTATAATAATTACCTGCAACGGCCTTGTCGACGGTCGGGGTCGAAGGGCCCAAGCAAATGATTGCGGAAATGTAGAAATGCACTATCCTATCCCCATGTGCCATTGTTCGAACCGTTTTAGCCCGCGATTAGGCCGTTGATTTGTAAGAATCCCGGCCCAGCCAAAATCTACCAGAGACATCTGTGAAAAAAAAATAATAATAATAATCATAAAATCTCTCATCAGAATTAGGGTCAAGAAACCGCGCGGAGTGGGTATCTCAAGTTATGAGAGGTTATTTATGCTAGGAGTTTTGCTTCTAAAAACTCAAATGCACTAAGTCTTACTTTCTTCCATTGCATTTTGAATGTACTATTGCAGGTGGGCCGAACGTTCTCCTTCAACAAATCGACCCCTTCAAAGTTGAAGAGAGCCGTCAGCTCAATGATGTCGCCCTTTGGCAGCTCCACCAACTTGACGCCGGCTTCTCAATTGGCCAATATGCGATTGGCAAGCTACAGCAATATCAATGTAAGTAAATCAGTCGCTTGCAGTTATTTCCAAATACCCACCTTATATCTTCTTACTTTGGAATCATTTTGCATTAGAGTCATTTGAAATACATATTTCATCACTGTAGACCACACCAATAGAAAAAGTCACTTGTTATCCAAGAGGCTTCAGTCACTAATACATATATGATTAAAATAGTGACCAACTGAATTGCTATCCCAAATGTTATTTTCATTAAATTTACAACTATAGAAGATAAAACTTTGATCTGCAGTGACATTTTTTACCTTGGACAACTCGTTTTCTTTTCAACATTGATAAACTTATTGGAACATTAGTTTTTCTTTTTTTCCAGGAGCTAGGCAGCAACGTTGAAAACTCAGACGAATCTCTAACAGCGGCGCCAATGTCAGTACAACCCACACGCAAAATGAAATCGTCTTCTTTGGGTGTGAACGCGTTCAAACGCTTATAGCGACATTCGATGCTCAAAAATTTATATATATATATATTTTATTTTTCATGGATGATCTGTACATAGTTAACATTAATTTAAGTTTTACTACAAAAGAAAAGAAACATTGAAAAGTGAACTGATTTAAAGTGAGAAAGATCTGTTTTGGGGAGAGTGCACCCTATTTAGTTTAAGAGGTGATGTTTGAGAAATACTCTTTTTCTTCTTTGGTTCCTTGATGGAAAAAGAGAAGGAAATTATGAGATATGTAACCGCAGTCTTTTAGTTTTTCTATATTAAGTATTTATTGCCTGAATTTTTTTTTTCTAGAAATAAAAAAAATACTCAGGGAGTTCGATTAAGTTGAATGTATCTTAGTGTTAGCCATTTTAAACAAATTTGTAGGTGCACTTTAAAAAACTAGTGTTTAGGTAATTATTGTTAGATTTAACTACTTTAGACTTTTGTGATTTTTGAACTTTTTTTGTTGAAGAAATAATTCCTTGGAGAAAAATGTTTTTGGTATTTAATTTTCAGCAACCAATGTGGGATTTTTTGTTAAGTTTTTGAATGTAGACTAGTCTCACAAGAGACATCTGAGATTTTGAAAAAATATTCAGAACTGATTATATTTGTATTTCAACTCGCCTCAATCTCAGATATTTACACAAATATTTTGAATAGTTTTAGGATTTCACTTTTGAACTTCTCATTAAGTACAATCTGCCTTTTAAACTCTTTGTAACTATAACTAATATTCACAAAGCATTTTTTTTTTTTCAAATTCACATGCGTAACCACAAAAGCTGAATTTCCATACAGTTAATATTTTGTTTTTGTATATAGCTTAAGAAGTAATCTGAATTGGCTTATTTTTCAGAATCTCTTGCTCCTATGGGTACTTCTCAAACATACACCATAATGATATACTTTACTATACCTATATTATTTGTTTTAAAATTTGACATATTTATATAGTTGCAACTTTCCCCTATATTTTTAGGATTCTCTCTTTTCAAGCTCTCAAATCATAAGAAGAGGGATCCTATTAGGTATCTTTGATTTTTTTTTCTCGATACCATACAGAGACAAATTCAATCATAATTCAATGAGTTTTATACTGTGTTATAATTGATTGCCTTATAGGTGATTAATTTATTATTTATATAATGTAAAATAAACTTGAATAATTTATGCAGCCTATTTGTTTGTTTTATTTTTGCCCTTCAGCAAAACCCTTGAAATTTCTATGAAATGTTTTGGACAGATGAGCAAAACAAACATGTTTACTAATGCCCTTCCCAATATGAGATTTTTATTGTTTGGTCCTCATTGCTAAATTACGGGGCCGGGACAAGCTTACCCCCTATAGCTATTTTGGAATAACAAGATGTTTTTGTTTGGACAGTTTTAGGCATAATTTCTTGTTTTTGCAATATGTAAATTTTAAAGGTAGCAGGTAGCCTTTAATTTGCATATTACAAAAACAAGTTTGAGAACAATAATTATAATGAGAGAAGAGAAACTAGGCGTAAATGACTAAAAAATATGCAAATACTTTTGAAGACGCGAGTAACTGTCATGGGCATCAAACTGTAACAAATTCAAAAAAAAAAAATGAAACATTAGGAATTTTGATGATGGTAGAAAAGTTAACTTCTTGGCCTACGATCTCAAAAAAAAATGTCGATGATAATTATACAGGTTTTGAAAAGGATCTAAGAATTGAGGAAATCATGAAAATTTGTCTGTTAGACATTTTCAATTTTCGCGATCTTCAAAGACATTAAGAAACATCGAAAATTTGATGTTAGAGAAGTTAACTGATACTTTATTATTTTTGAACTATAATAGGTAGGTACTTACCTCAAATAAACAGATTTTAAGCAATGATGAAAAATAGAAACTTTCATAGAATTTAAAAACAAGTTTCAAGTGAATGTACTTATGTTGTTATCAGGTTTGTTTATAATATTCTGCGATTGTAGTATCGTCAGAAAAGCACGTTTCGGAATGAGAGAAAATAGTCCTACTTGAATCGAGTATTGAAAATCTAGTTTCAATAATTCCCGATAAAATTAATCGAAATATTATTAACACAAATGGCTTGAAGAAAAACTTATATTAACTACTCGAACCACTACAAGAAGAAGGTGGGTGTCGCCTATTTTCAATGTAAAAAGAACACTGAAGTAGAAAATATACATGTTGACAACGCTGACGCTTTCTATGACAATTCCTTTTACACCTTTTTTCTCGAATGGTCATGGACCGGTGTCATTGGGTGTTTTCTACCGAGGTAGAGGGTGCTTTGGTGTCTTAATGGTTACAATCTCCGAATCTCCCCTTTTGGAGTTCTCCTAGGTTCTCGGGGATACTCCAAGTCAATTTTTGATGTATGATCGCCACATATAAACAACTTGGAGCTTTAATGCGGCATCTGGGTCGTCCCATCTAATCTGGGTTCTTCGTCATTTTAATTTTTTCTTCGTTAGAAATCTCATCAGCATGCAGTACATCTGTGTTTTTCTGAGGAATGACCTCGTCACCTTCGGGTATATTATCAGTTTCAATAAGGCGTCGTCTCATGGGTCTTCCACGTGGGCGTATAGGTCGTACTGGTGTTGGAACTTCTCCTTTTCCCACATAAGGTGCCATAGCTGACGTATGTAGTTTGATGGTGGGACCTTCAGTTGGCTCTATAGGTTTAACTTCAACTGTTGCTGGAGTGACAACCTTAGTAACTTCATATATGGATCACCATCACGTCGTGGAGCAAATTTTGAAGTATAGGCATCTTTGGCTTTGCTAATTGGGTGTGTATCCACCATCACTCGATCTTCCTCTTTAATTTTAATGGGGAATAGTTCTTCTCCTTTGGTCAGCATAATGTTTCGATTTATCTTGGGACTTTTCATGGAACTCTCTTGCTTATCTCAAGGCTCTAGCAATATTTCTCGAATAAAGGGTAACTTGAGGAATGAAATTTTTCACTTTCAGTGATAGCTCTCATGTCCCTTTGTACATCATTGGGTGTGCGCAGCTCTCGTCCAAATGTTAAATAGACTGGGGTATATCCAGTACTGTCACATCTTGAGGTGTTCATGGCAAAATGCACGTAGGGTAGTTTATTCTTCCATCGAGTGTGACAACCTCCTACTAGAATTGATAATTGGATTTTCAAGTCGCGATTTATCCGTTCCACAGGATTAGACTTGGCATGATACACAGGTATTAAACTTAAGTGCTGATGAAAACCAAGAAAATATGCTGCATACTGCATAGTTTCACTAACAAATTGCACTCCATTGTCGCTGGTAACCCTTCGGGGAACTTCATATCTGAGTATCACCTCATCAAAAAGAGTTTGCGCACAAGCTTTGGCAGTAGCATTTGCGAGCAGAAATATTTCTATTCATCTGCTGGAAGTGTAAAGATCCATTTTTCACCAGTATCGGTTTCAGGAAGGGGTCCAAAAAGATCTATTGATATTACTCCAAATCGCTTGGCCATTGCAGGTGTTTGTATAAAACCAGCAGGTTTAAGATTTCTCACTCTATATCTCTGACATTCAATACAGCTGGACACATGTTCGGCTACACTTTTTCTCATTCCTTGCCAATAGTATCTGGAACGTATTCGTTGTATGATTTTATCAATACCATAATGACCAGCTAAGGGGGAATCGTGGTATTCTTCTAGAATTTCAGGAATCATGCTTTTCGGTACCACTAATTGTATTTCTTCTTGGATCTCACTCTCAGGATCATAGCGATACAAGATTTCCTTCGGTCATAATGCAACCGCGGTCAATCCATGTCTTAAATTCCACTGATTCAGGATCCGGTGATTCGAAACATGAAATTATTTTTAATACATCTGGATCTTCTAACTGTTTCCTTCTAATGTCTTCTTTTTTTCTGGAAAAATAAACAATAACTTCATTTACCTTTGTCTGAGATGTTTCTTGTGGTGCACGGAATAAAATATCAGCCACTACATTTACCTTGCCAGGTGTATATTCAATTCTCATGTTATAATAAGCCTGTTAAGACAAAGCCCATTGAGCTAATCGCCCACTTCAATGGCTGGTGGTCAGTCTGAATAATGAATTTAGCTCCATCCAGGTAGCCTCTAAATTTTTCCACAGCCCACATAACTTCTAGAGCTTCTCTTTCTGTAGTGTGATAGTTCAGCAGGTGTGAGTAATTGGCTTGCATATTCAAAAGGTCATTCATCGGACTTCTCCCCTTGGAGTAAAACTGCCCCTACTAAAGCATATGAACTAGCATCAGTTCTGAGTATATAACGTAATGTACTATCAGCCTGTCGGAGTATGGGATTAGTAGTCAAAAGTTGTTTCATAAGGTCTTGTTCTTTATTCTCCCATTTCCAAATAGCTTTCATCTTGGTTAAGGAGGTTAAGGGCTTTGAAACTTCTGCAAATGAAGAAATGAATCGCCGGAACCAAGAGCATGTTTGGACAAAGGACCAAAGCTCTTTCACATTTTTGGGAGGTGGTCTCTCCAGAATAGCGGTGATTTTAGGATCTGGTTGGATTCCTTGGGGTGTAATTACGTGTCCCAAATACTTCACAGAGGAGCACACAAAATGGCATTTAGATCGATTGAGGTGAAGCTTTGAAAGTTACAAGTCGGTCAAAAACTCGTTGTAAATCAGAAAGGTGTTCTTGGTAAGTTCTGGATAATACAATCAAATCGTCTATATAAGCTGATATGGTCAAATCTTGGAGTCCGGATTTGAAACGATCAATGAGTCTTTGGAACGTGGAGGGTGCATTTTTTATTCCAAATGGCATCCTCGTATAACGGAAAATTCCAAATGGGCAAATAAATGCTGTTTTATCTCGATCAGATTCGCGGACAGAGACTGGAATGGCAAGTGATGTTGAAATAATTTTATCATCCAGAATGATTTCAACATTAAAAACTAGAGAAGTTACAGTCCTCTCTATGCCATCTGCAAGTTTAATCAACAATTGTTGTTGAATATAAGAAGCGTTTTATTTCAAGAGAAGTTTCATAAGCGCAGCACCAGCTAGGCTACGATTTGTTCCTGTATCCAAACAGGCAAGACCAGTATGACCAAGAATATTATTGACTGAAACCATAGGTTTTAATTTGAGAATCAACATCTGAAGAATGATAGAAGAATTCAGCAGCTTTGGCACTTGAAGTGAACGTTTGGCCTGGATGAAGTACCTATTACTAGAAGGACCTGATTTTCGACAATTTGGACAGTTGCTTTTGATATAACCTTGTTCTCCACAACCGTAGCAAGAAATTGCCGTAGAAACATTTTTTTTTTTCTTGCGGATCTTCTTACTTCCGATCTGTTTCTTCCAGTCTAGAGTTTTGTTTCAATTTTCTACAATCTTCTATGATGTGGCCATAATTTTTGCATAAAACACATTTCAATGAAGACTTCTTCCCTTCTGTTTTAGCTTCTTTGTGGGGGCTCGATTCAACAGACTCGTGAGTTTTCTTTTCCAGTAGAGTGATTTCTGCAGTTTGAGCAGTTTGAATAAGCTCATTGAAATTATCAACATTTTCTCGAAGAACTCTCTTTCTAATATTGTAGTTCAATAGACCGACCATACACCATATCTAACTGACAAATCGCAGAAACCTGGTGATTAATTGGAAGTTTGGAGAAAATGGCTTGACATCGGTGTCATTGGATGTTTTCTACCGAGGTAGAGGGTGCTTTGGTGTCTTAATGGTTACAACACTTAATTTCCATAATGAAATTTGAAAAGGGATTTTTTTTTGGAAAATATTGATATAAAGTCTATTTTTGAAGCGTCCATAGCCTCAGTTAAATCAAATTATTTTATATTGATGAAATAACAGGAGCATTGTGAAAAAAAGTTGTAGGTGAAACGATTCTATCCAGTCAATCACCAGTCAATAAGTTGAAGCTTTTCTCAAAGCCTAAATAATGTTATTTTCTCCAAAAGTCAAAAAACGCCACTTGGTTAACCTCTGTCAAGATGTCAGAAATTTAATTTCTATGCTGGTAGGCAAATCCAGCGGGTTAACACCTGTCGAGGTGGTAGAAATTTAATATCTATGCTGCTTGGCAACCCCAGCGGCAGCAAAAGTACTTTTAGTGCCGCTCGTACTTTTACTGCCGCTTAACCATTCACTTGCCCCCGAGCTTACCCCATTCGTTTGGAGAAA